AGCACAGATCTTTAACTTCTCACTCATTCAAAGTGAGAATGGAGTGAAAAATGGATTTATGGAGCAGGTCCTCATCTGCAGGGATGCAGATGTGACTCCAGGTGAGCAAAGCCAAAATGTGAAGTTCTTAGACTGGAGGTCTATTTATGTTTTGTTTATAACTTATTGAGCAGGACTGGAAAGACATTTGTGTTTGTGTTTGTGTTGTAAATAGATGTAAAATCTACTGTTTTTAGTTTTACATCAGGTTATAATGTTGTTCCCTCATCAAAAACAGACCTGGATTGTTGCCTTCATTCTTTCATGCATGTTTGAGAAATCCTTTAATCTCCATGGCAACCGTTCAGCTGTGCAAAACGCTTGGGTGAACCAAGCCCCGCCTTCCAGACGCAGCTCCTCCTCAGGGCTGCAGTTTCCAAGTTTCTGAGCCTCACAGAGCGACTTACCCCCACTCAGCTCCTTCAGACTAGCCAGCAGCAATTAGCAAACACCTCATGGAATAACAGTCTAAGCTCATTATGTGAGCTATTTCTCAATGCAACGCTGGTAAAAACGTTGCTAAAGGGTTAATAGGGGAGCCATGTTGTTATGACTTCCTGTCTCAGAAATACCAGGAGTTTTTAAAGAGACAGACGCCCAACTTAAACTCTGCGTCCCTACTAAATTACAAAGTTAAATCTCTTCTATGTCATACGTAGCATTTTTATAACAGCTGAAGTTAACATAGCTGCTTGATTATGCTATAAAATGGAAAACACGTAATGCCGCAAGGTGTGTGAAGGTGCAACCCCACGTTTTTTTTTTTATTTTTTTTTTTACCAATTATTACACTTTCATTCTTCCACAGCCAATCAGTGAACATTGACTTCACCCTTGTTAAAATGTCAAGCCTTCTCCATTCAGGCACCATTTCCTGTGGCCATGTTTCTTCCTGTTCATTTCTCCTTAAAAGCCGCTCACTTCAAAAGTTTTGTCTCTGTTTTCTGGAGCCAATATTGTGACTGTTGACAATAGCTGCGTTGTCTGCTTGGCTGAGAGCTATGATTAGTCAACTCATTATATTGTCATGCTCTGGTGCTCTCTTTGCTCCCAATCTGTTCACGCACACAAAGCCGTGCGACTTCAAAAGCCTTATTGGCACTCCTCGCCGTGTCCTAGGCGTGAAAAAACAATCGAAAAGGCAAAAGTGAACAACATCTGAGAGTCTGTGTTTTTCCCATCAGAGGAAATTCTGCACAAACACAAAAGCCTTTTTTTTATTATGTTTGTGAATATCTTGAAACATGTCTTCTGGCTTATAGGAAGAAGAAAACAGGCAAAAAAACAACCAAATTCAGAAAAAAACAAAAACTAGTTTTGGACGGTGTGTCCTCTCCAGGGCTATTATGTTTGGTAATTGCTGACTGTAACGAGGCCGTCACTCTCCATTACACACCGTGGATCATTTGACGTCTCTTCAAAACTCTCAGAGTTGCTGTTGTTCCCACCCACCTCCACTCCCACTCCCTTCTTTCCAGCTCTCACCCTCGCTTTGTTTCCAGCTGTGAGAAGCTCATCACATGTTTTCATGAAGCTTTTTTTTAATGTAATTTCTAGTTACTAATTAGCTTTTTTTTCCCCCTCTTTTGTTTGTAGCCACTTTTCACTAAACACTTCTCACCAGAGAAGCAGAGGCCACAGCTGCAAATGTTTAACCTTGGTTGCACATCCAATGTTTATGCTCTGAGCTGTATTAATTGTAGCCGCAAACCAACATGGCTTCCAACGGTTGCAGGGTTTAATTTGTGTGTTGCACCAACTTGATTGTGATTAAAAAAAAAAAAAAAAGGATATGTAATTATCAAATAAAAATGAAAAACAATCGTCTGATTGCGTTTGGATCTCATTGGTGGCCAGACTTCACTTCCTGGTGCTGAGGTCAGGAAGAGGCATCGGCGCGAACGGAGAGAAAAATCTAATTGTTTGGAATCATGTCAGCTGAGCTGGAGGACACAGCTTGTGCTTGTGATTTATCACCAAAGCGTCGCTGCATTTGCCGATAGGAAAACAGTTTCAGTGGCGTCATGGTGATATACGGAGATGGATGAGGAGAAAAATTGAATAACATTTCTCCCCGTTCTCACCGGTCCGCTCTTATTTGTGACTGGGAAAAGAGCAACGGGTTTCGTTTGACTGCTTCTGGATGCATTGGGTTTTATTTGTAGATAATTTATTTTCATTGTTGTATTCTGGTCTGCTTCCCTTTCAGAATTGCTTTATTCCTCCGTCGCTGTATGTTTGCAGCTGTTGCGCTTTTAGAGCAGAGGTAATATCTGCGCCGATTTCTCCCGGCCGGCTTTGTGGTTGCAAGAGCAAAGCATCGCTTACTCTCTCTCTCTTTCTCTCTCAAAGAAATGTGGTTCCTCTGATGTCCAGAGTGACTCCTTATTTCCTCTGTTTCATCGCAAAACCCAAAGGTCTGGCAGGTTCGGTATCATATATGTGTGTGTGTAACTGTGTGTGTGATTGCTGGATCTATACTCTGCAAACAAAAGGATCTATATTTAAGGTCATAACATTCTCCAGACAAATTGAGAAAAGATACAGATCTTTGTCAAAATACTGAACCCTGTTGAAGCTTTTCACACATTTTATAAACTATATTAATACAGACCTGCACCATTTATTCTCAAAACAGCACAAATTACGACATAGACATCCAATAGATAGGTTTCAATATTCATTAACATTTTAATCATTTATAAAATAGCAAATAAAGTCTGAGGCTGTAACCTAACAAAATGAAAAAGTGATTATAACAAGTTTCAAAAGGTTCTGCAGTACAGTTATGTTTAAATGTGAATTCAGCCACAAAATTAAAACTCATAACAATACATTACATTTACAAAAAAAAGCCAATTCTCATTATAAGTCTTTATTACAATCCTAACATTGCTTGTTAAGATTGCCTGGTTTTAGATTTCTCTTTCAAACAGAAAAATACAATGTTTTCAAACAGCAGTGAAATTAAGTTGCTAAAGTTCTCACAAAGGCTAATTGAGTCTGAAAGCAAAGCATTTTCTGACATTAAATGCACAATTTTACATTTTAAAGCTAAATACGTAGTAGTGATAGATCCTCAGGAAGCATTATCTGTCTGTCTGTCTAAATCGGACTCCCAATCCGTCAAAGTGCCAGAACTCAATTTAGAACCCTACTCTCCTATATTTGTATTCTGAAGAATAAAAATAATGTCTTTGTTGAAAGCAATTTTCTCTATAATATGTCCCCTGAGGCCATCCCACCTTTTTAAATTCTCATTAAGTCACAGTGTTTTTCCAGTTCAGCCTACACAGAGCGCCCTGCTATAGACGAAACACAGAATAGGTGGCTGTTTTACAAAAACGTATGACTACATTCCTTTAATAATATTCTTAAAGATCCCTGAAAATGCTCATTTGGACTGTTCTGGTTTTGTGTTTCTGCTAGAGGTTAAGTTTACACAAATCATCAAATGATTTCACTTTTTCCATTCTTGTTTTGCTATTCATTGCTTTTAATAGTGATTTTGTCAGTGTTTTCTTTTATTTACTTATTTACTCAACATATCAAAACAAAATAAAGCAACTTTCAATAAAAAAGTCAATCTATTCAGCCAAAAAAAGCTTTCCTACAAATGATGTTTGTATTAAATAAGGAACTTTCAGCTAATAAATCCTCTGCATGGATTGTTTGATCTACTAGACGCTGACGCGTTATCTCTTCACAGACAAAAGTGGCAGCATTTCTATGGAAATGTGGCATTTGCTTTGTTTCCCACCATCTAATGAGCCAGTTAACATTCAGTTGTTCACCCTAATTGACTCCTGCACTAACCGGATGGAGGCACAGAACTCCAAATAATTACACTCTTTATGAGCCAGAGTCTAATGAATTTAAGAGGCAGATTTACCAGCCGATTGATTCTGGGTAGAAATGATTGAATTAAAAGATGGCCGCCCTGAACTTAAGGATGGATCTGTTAACTTGTTCCAGCGTAATATGGATGGGATTTTTAAGCAAAATGGCATTCACAAACCAACTAACCAACCGTTATATGCTTTTCTAATTTCTAAAGAAGATTCTAAGCTACTCTACATTGTAGAAAAAAAGGAATGTGAAAGAAATTATACAGAAAGAATTAAGGTAATTAAAGTGGATCTATTAGAGTACTTTATTTTACTGTGGTTTGGTTATATAAACACGTCTGGGGAGCCAATGGGGTTGGTGGAAAGTTGAAGGGAAGATTAAAAAAAAAAAAAAAGCAAAAAGTTAAAAAACTGAATCCAATAAAAATTTTAAATCAAAAGTTTTAATTTACATTTTAAAAAATCAGTTTTTCAATCATGATTTTAAAACATAAATTAACTTACTGAAATGCCTTTAGTAAGTTAAACTGGATCAAGTTTTTGTAAACCACACTGGAGCTCCCCCTGGTGGATGTTTTGTTACATCGTTCGGTAACGCTGAAAAAAGAGAGAAAATAGAGATCCAAAATGGCGGAACGTAATCCCGGCGAGTTCCTAAATTTAGCTGATATCACCTTCATACCTTGTTGTTTTGGATGAGATTTGTTCGTAAGTATTGGTTAATGATGAAAATAATACTTGTCTGTTTGTTTTGTGTAACGGTGGTGTGATAAATTGTACATTTAAGTCATTTATGAATTCTTTTTGCAACGTTAGCTAATACTTTTCCTTGTGTATTTCAGTTTTACGGTGGTCAACGGCCATTCTTCAATAAACAAGCAAAAAGAAAGGTAAGTTTGGTTATTGGAGCGTCGTTATCTTCCTGTTTAGCAGGTGAAAATTGAAAACAGCATAGCCAGCCATGCTCTTCTGTATGATTAGCGGCCAGTCAAATTTATGCTTTGCTAGCATAGCTAGCGCAGCATGGAAATGCTTTAAGTACTATGAAGATTAAATAAAATTTCATGTGCGATTAAATCTGTAATCAAAAGACAGGATTCAGGTAATATGACATCAATATCAGATTAGGTTTTTTGCAGTTTTGCACTACAGAACTCATGGCTAACTGAAATCAGAAGATATGAGGCAACATTTATTCTAATTGAACGTAATAATTATTGTATAGTGAATAAAAGAGAGGAAAAAACATCCCAAAAGTTGATATTTCTTTATATATTTTGTATCTCTTGGGTTTGGAAGCTAACGCTGTGTAGGGGCTCATGGCATTGAAAAGTTTGGAAATCCCTGTCCTAGTTTAAACTTTAGTTTTTTCGGTTTTGAAGCCTTTTGCCCACCTGATGCCTATCAGCTGTTAGGAAAATCCCAGCACCATCCAAACCCTGAAAACTTCTTTCTTCAGCTTAACAGTTTTTTTGACAGCTTTATAATAATAATAATAATAATAATAATAATAAAACTTTATTTCACCAGATGTCATCACATGCTGACAACAGCTCGATAGAGGTTTGTTTTAATAGACAGGATGTGACAAAGGTTCCTTGAAATGTCTGGTTTTTAATACCTTTTGTTTTTCTTTGTGGTTTGTGCAATATTTCATCTTGGTCTCATAGTTATTAATTGTTTTAAAAGCAGGGAATAAAATCCTGCTCCTCCCTGGGAACAATCACTCTAAAATATTGACTTTTTCTGAATG